TTTGTGTCGATTCCGTCGCCACGCGCAACACCGACTGACGCCTCGGCGCTGACGCTGGCGTGGCACATCGCCGACAGATCGGTGACATTCCGCAACCCGTCGACCAAAGCAGACGAGACCAAGGCCATCTTACACGATGTCTCGGGAACGGCTGCGCCCGGGCAGTTTATCGCAATCATGGGCCCATCGGGCGCTGGCAAGAGCTCGCTTCTCGACGTCATATCCGGTCGTGTCACCAGCTTTCACGGCTCGGTCACGGTCAACGGCCAGCCATGGACACGCGGCGCACGTGCTACGTCATGCAAGACGACCTCTTCTACCACACGCTAACTGTGAAGGAGCATTTGCTCTTTCAGGCCCAATTGCGCATGGACCCGGACGCAAACCATGCGGCGCGTGTCGCGGACGTGCTAGCGCTCATGGGCTTGAGCGACTGCCAAGACTGCTACATTGGCAACGCGGCGACCCGTGGCATCTCGGGTGGGGAGCGCAAACGTCTCTCGCTGGCGTCGGAGCTTCTCACCAACCCATCGATTCTGTTTGTGGACGAGCCAACGTCGGGTCTTGATAGCGTCACGGCCGAGTCGGTGGTCCAGGAGCTCCAGCAGCTTGCTGCACGTGGCCACACGGTGCTCGCGACCATGCACCAGCCGTCGTCGCAGATCTTTCGCCGCTTCGACGCGCTCTACTTGCTCTCGCACGGCCAGCTCGTGTACGCGGGCCAAGCCGCTGCCGCGGTCGACTACTTTGGCTCGATCGGCGTGCACTGCCCTGCGTATATGAACCCGGCCGACTTTTTCATGCAAGAAATCGCGCGCGTCGACCACTTGGCGCATCTCGTCGCGTCGTGGCGGGCGGTGGCGACGTCCGGTAGCCCAACCCCCACGAACATGACGGCGCTCGATGCCCCGAGCCGCCCTGCACCGCACCGTCGCGCAGGACTGTACCAATGGTCGGTCTTGTGCCGGCGCAATCTCCGGCGCCTCGTGCGGGACACGGCTGCGTTCAAGGCCCGCCTCGCTCAGAGTGTCGTGCTCGCCCTTCTCTCAGGTCTTATTTACCGCAATTTAAGCCTCTCTCAGACCGGCATCCAGAGCTTTGCGGGCGCGCTCTTCTTTATCACGCTCAACCAAGGCATGCTCGCGGCCACGTCCGAGTTTGTGCAAATCCCGCTCGAGCTGCCGCTACTGCGCCGCGAAGTTAGCGCCGGCTTATACGCCCCTACAACGTGGTACTTGGCCAAGAACGTGAGCGAGCTCTGGACCCAAGTGCTCTTTCCTCTGCTCTTTGTCGTCCCCGTCTTCTTTCTCATTGGGTTTGACGCGCACGTCGAGGAGCCGGCTTCCGTGTTGTGGACCATGTCCCTCTTTTTGTCGCTGGTCACGAGCGCGTGCGTCGGGTTAGGGTACGTGATCTCGTGCGCCGTGCCCCGGCCCGACGTGGCGCCCATGGTCGGCATCGTCGCGCTCATGCCGCTCGTGCTCTTTGGCGGTCTCCTCGTGAACGCAAACGACACCCCGGGGTACTTTGTCTGGCTTGAGTACCTCTCGCCCATTCAATATGGGTACCGTGGCTTGAACCGCGCGTTTTGGACCGCTGTGCCTCACATTCCGTGTGCCACGGGGCAGCGCTGCGCTGCGCTCAGTGGCGCCGATGTACTGGAGAACGCAGCGCTCGATGGGCACTCGCTGCAGTACGATGTAGGGCTCTTGCTCGCCATCAACGTCGGCTTTCGCTGCCTCGGCCTTCTCGCGCTACGACTTTCGTTGCGTAATCGAAGACACTAGATCCATTCACTGCAAAGTCAATGTACACTTTTCGCGTCACAATGGCGGTATTGCCGTCCATCCAAGTGATTTATTGTTCGTCGGGAATAGCTAACACAAAGCCTTGGCTTGTGACTTTGTGGATACGCCTTCGAGCTCCCAGGCATTCTGCGTCATGTCATTGAAGCGTCTCGCACCCGTCGACGCAAAGCTGGATGAGACGACGACGACCAGCCGTCCGCAGATGCAAGCGATGTTCTACCAGTGACATTGGCTCTTTCATACGGCTCAGGTGGCAACGCGCAGATGCCCAAGTACAAGCGGGTGTCGTTGTCGACAAAGAGGCTTCAAAGCACAAACATCAATGCAGTACATGCGCTTAGAGCTCCTGTTGCTGCGTCGACGGCGGTCGGGGTGGCAACGATGGCTGCGCAAAGGCCGACGTCCGGTTGCCTTGGGTATCCACGCCGCGGGTCTGCTGCTTGGCTTTGGCCGAGGCCTTTAACGAGTTGAACCATGCTTCGTACTTTTGGAGCAGCACGTCCTGCAACACTCTACCGTGAGATAGAAGGCAAGAAACACAGCAAAACCTTTTCTTGGGCAGTGCGCTGCGCCGCATCCAGCTCGGCACGGAGTTCGGCGACGAGCGGTGAATCTTCAACGTCGCTAGCCGTTGCATATATATGAGCGGCAACGTATGACGAGCCAAGTAGTCGTACATGTGCGACGGCTTGGCGTCTTGTCGCTGCTGCTGACGACGCCACTCTTCCAGTGCGCGCTTGAGCACGACAAACTAGCCGAGGGGTTAGGGTGGACACCCTTTCTCATGAACTGCACCTTTTGGTTGTACTCGAGTTTGAACGTCTCCATGGTTTGCGTCAATCGCTTATTCTCGTCGGCCATTCCTTCAGTGCTCTGGACGTCCTATCGCCACATCCACATGGCAAAATGCGTCGACATCGAAGCGCGCACCTGACGCAGCTTGGCGTTCTCCGTGCTGAGTGTCTTGACGGTGTGGGTGAGGCGTGCGATTTCGTGCTTGTGTGTCGCCAGTGCGGCCCGCAGATGCTCCATGGCATCCGTCGACGGCGATGACGAGAGCCCGTCGTCCTATACACATGTGCTCGCATGGTCAATGCAGAGCGCGCAGCTAAGACTACGTCATGATGGGGCGGCTTCTCCGGCGACGGCATGATCTCTACAGTCGTCGTGACGATAGCGTGAAGAACTCGCAAGCGTCTACCGTCTTCTTTGATGGGGCTCGGGATCGAGAGGCGCGACGATGGTGCGGTTGAGAGCTGGCTCAAGTACCGTTCGCGGTGGTTCTTGTTGCGGTTCCCGATCGCGGCCTTGAGCGTCGTCTCGCCGTCGACACGGGACACGAGGGGCATGCGCGCATTGCCCGTCGGCAAGAGGCAGAACGAGTCGCCGAGGTCCGAGCTCAGGTACTGCTTGGACGCAGGCCGCGCCCCGGCGTTCGTAGCATACCCCGGAAGGCCAAGCGCTTTCAGGCGCTCAAAGAGGTCCTCCATCTCGGATGCTGCCTCGCGCATGGACGTGGCGCTGTGCGGCGCGCTGGAGGATGGTGTCTCGCTCTTGGCCGAGGTCTGCGCCGGGACGAACGGCGCTGCTGTCGTCGTCGTCGTCGTGGACGGCGGTGGAAACGACGGGCGGGGCGTCGCGTCTGGCATCAGCGCCATCTGCCACCGCACAGCGCGCTGCTCGTGGTTCTCCGCAATAAGCTTGAGCGCAGCGCGCGTCTTGACGTCATTGGCGGCAATGTCATCCAGGGCGCGAAGGTAGCATTGGCTCGCCAACTGCTCGAGCTGCTCGGCGCGGTCCAGCTACACACGCCATGAGATGCACTCGTTATCGGCGAAGAAGCTACATGTCCAGAGGAAGCATACTCCTCGGCCTCGAGCGCATACTGATGGCCGAGGACGACGGCCGACCGCGACGTCGCTGCCCGCTGCGGCCGGCCCGCGGTTGGTTTCATCAGCATCCTGCGAATTTCGACCCGAAGAAGCACGGTCGCGAATATAACATGATAGAGGTCTGGAAGCACTTGATATTTGCATGTCGAAGTGAATATGTTATTATAGAGGTTCTCCCGACCAAGATCAAACGTGGCAGCACCAGCGTGCGAGGACTTGATCAGTACTCGAGTTCTGTTGCCGCAGTTGATTAAAACAGTGCACCGTGAAGTACACCGCGATACGTGCGCGTCTAGTACAGCTGCCGAGTGGGCTCGAGGAAGTTGGAGGCGGCCCACAGGGTCGACCTTAATGTCCTTGTGTGGCGAGTTGCCACCAAGTACCGCGCGCATGTGACGGAAGCGACTACCGGGTAGGCACCAAGAACAACTACAGGTCTATAGTCTACATGGTCCACATGTCTATAGAGCTGGTGTACGTTGAAGCTACAACCCTTCCCATCTACTCGGTCGACGCGATCGACGACGGCTCGACGACCATGTACCGAACATGGTCGTGCCCCATGTCCTGAGTACGGTGGGCGGTGAGGCGACTTGTGTCCAGTCGTCGAAATGCAAAATGACGCGCGTCCGCTCGGAAAAGCCGTGTTTGGCGAAGAATGCGAAGCCCGCTTCGCTTGCATGGACCCACATCGGGAGATTGCCGCGAAGACCCCACGCGAGAAGCGCGCCGCCGACGCCCGCGCGTTGTTGCGCCGGCGCAATCAAGCCAACTCCGTCGCGCTGCGCGCACGTGGTCGTCCCGGGAAGCTGACGACGCCGGTCTTGCCGCCGCCGACCAGGACGCGGCTCTTCGTCGAACAGCCATTCTGTACATGACACATAAAATAATACCATACAAATCACAAATGTGTGCTATAAAAATATACAGCGGGTCATTCCTTCAAAGCAAACCACACACACATGTAAAAAATACAACCAAGGCACATCACCATACGACGACTTTGCTGTAGACTCCATTCTTACAACGGCGGCGCATTTGGATGAAGGGAATATACATCCCCGACCGATTGAAGTGATGGCCATCATCCGGATAAAAGGATGAGGGGTTGTATGTTATACAAAATACAAGTGTGGGTGAGATCTTCCGGATACTGGTGCTGGGCGGCTGGTCGAGCATTTTGCCGTTTGCGGGCATGCGCCAACGCCGCCCGTTCAGCTTTCTGCTTTGCGCCACCCGCATGTGCGTAGCTTGGTCGAGAAGAAAGGCCATGCATACGTCGGCTTCTGTGGTACGGCGACCGCGATGACAACGATGACTCGTGCGCTCTCTTGTAGGACCACACGCGCTATGCGTAAGGCTCGAGGAGTCTTGTCACGAAATTCCACAACTTGCCGACAACAAGGTATGCCCATTGAGCTGCGCCGATCGAAGCGGAGCCAAGCGGCGAACCCGCTGCAGCCATCCACGCCTGGCAAGCCGTCGAAGCCAAGCGCACCGACGACGGACGACGCGACGAAGCTCGCGTTCGACGCGCTAGTCGAAGAGCTCATGGCATGGTTCAAGAATCGCAACGAGCGGGTACCTCTTTGCGGATTCGCAGCGCTGGCCATGCGCGAACGACACGGCTCAAAGTCCAAGTGGTCGAAGAAGGAGCAAGCAGCGTTCGCAGCGCTACAGGCGCTGGGCAAGGACCAGGACGACACAACGTGGTCGCTGCTCCGGACCTTCTCAAATGACGGCGACGAGAAGCTCTTCACGACTTGGTACGTCTTCGATACCACCCATGTCGTCTATCGTTGAGGCGCATAGCTTTTGCGCCGCCCGAGACCGCAGCCACATTGTACGGACCTCGATATGTCAACCAACTGCGTCAGTGTGTTGTAGGCTCAAGAAGCAGCAGGAGACCACTGCGAATGCCGAGAAGAAGCGCCACCCCGACGACCAAGCTGCACTGTACGTAGACGATATCGAACTCAAGCCACAAGATGGCTACGACATGTATAGGCACGGGGATCCAAAAAGGCCAAGCTCGCGCTGGCCGCCACGTCGCCGCCCGCCATCGGCGAGGCCAAGGCGATCCTCTCGCAAGACGCATGGATCCAGCGTCAAGACGATTTACTGCAGCACCAAGACGCATGGCGCTGCATCCAAGCGTCTTGGCGCTGCATCAAATCATCTTGACGCTGCACAAGACGCTTGGATGCAACAATACGATGTCCAGATGGAGCACCGTACGGATTCGATTTGTCTGCGCTTGTCGTCGGCATCACGCGGCGGGCGCGAGAGGGCGTCGGCGACCACGTCCTCGACACGAGTTTAAGCTCAAACTAAGAAAAACAATCCAGCTATTGGACTATCTTGGCGTTGAGCAGAGGCGTTTCGAGGAACAAGCGCCACACGCTGCTGACTGTGAAGAGCGTGAACGGCGTGGCCAGAGGTACGCCACTTGGCCAGTGCCATCTTGGTCGCGTAGAGCTCCTTCTCGTGCGCGCGCCAGTTGAGCTCGGCACTAAAGAGCTACTTCGACGAACGCAATCGGGTGGTCATCGCTGGACTCGTTGACTGGAGCGCATTTCGCGTCGGTCGGTCACTGCTCAATGGCACAGAGATAGTCAGGTCGACCGCAATGCCATCGCGCGTCATCATATGGCCGAGGTAGTCGATCTCGGGCATCGCAAACTTGCCCGTGGTCATGCGGCAGTAGTTGTGCGCGCCGCATCTCAAACACCGCGCGCAACGTGCTCGTTCAGCGTCTTTCAGACGATCGCAATTCAGTCCATGTACACGACCGCAAAGTCGAGCCTGCCAAGCGCTTCTTCATGAGGCCTGCCAAGCGCTTCTTCATGAGGCGTGGCCTGTCATCCCCATCGACACCATGAACCACTCGTACGTGTCCGAGTGCCGTGAACTTGCGGGACTCGGGATCGACGAGCATCGTAGCCCGTTGCAAGGTCGAGCTTCGAGACCCACTCGGAGCCCTTCATGCGATCGAAGAGCGCGTCACGGGATGCGTGGGATCTCTTGCTGCGAGCTCGTGTAGAGGTAGTCGAGCACCCATCGGATCTTGGACTGTGACGTGAGCGACTTGACAAGCTCTGCAACAGTGGCTTTAATGAGACAGTCCTCCTCCGACCGGACCGCGTAGGTGCCCTTCGTCAGGCGCGGTGGTTACCGGAACGACGCACTGACGACTTGGGGTTGACAGCCGTAATCATGCGAGTGCGCCAGTTGATCGTTGAGTTGTACTCATAGAACTACGAAAATGGTGTCGACAAAGTCCCACGCGATCCTCTCAAGCTGCGGGAACGTGTGGTTGCCGATCGCGACGACATACACGGGTTGACCTGCTTCTGGACGCTGCTGTTGAGTCCGCCGACAGCCTCGACAATCGGGCCGCCAAACGTATCGCATATCGTTGTAGGTTCGTCGCACCGCAATTGAGGAAGGCGCGAGCGCCATGGCCGTCAATCGCGCCGTTGGAGATCATGAGCTCTTGTACAACAGCTCCATGTGGCGCGGCTATTGTGTTGACCTGCACCTTGGTCGTCTTCGCAGGCGGTTTGGACGACTTGGGCGGCTTCAAGAACACACACTCGGGGCCGCATCCTTGTCGGAGAAATCAAGACTACCTTCCAGGCCGGGTCTTCACTGAGATCGACAACACCAGGACCTCACTGGGATGATGCCTGCTGCGGCGCGGCTTGGCCTCGTCCTTGGCGTCCTGGTTACAACGATCGTTGCGCTCACGCTCGTCGCCAAAATGCACGTTCAAAGCAGACATGCGTCCGAGTGAAAGCCAATCTCGCGGAGACCAGCTCCATCTTCGACTGCGACTTGAGGCCACGGATGGAATACGCGATCTTGTTGGTCACCCGCACCATGATCTTGCGGAGCAGTTGGACGTGTACTCGTTCAACCCACCCCGCAGTTGCGTCGGCGGAGATTGGACAAATCTTCACGGAGCCGTTCCTGGATGTCAACTCTTTAGCCAAGCGTCTTGAACGGGTTGCCAGCCGTAAACTAGGTGCGCACCCACACAACGGTCGGTGAACGCAAGCTGGAACAAGCGCATGTCAAAGTTGCTCGGGTCGGACGAGTCGTCGGCCGTCCAGCGGAGCTACAACTGCTGGTAGTGGAGTATGAGGTCCTCCTTGATGGCACCGCAGCGGCTGCACATGGTTCAAGCCGTCGCGCTGCTTCGCCGTCGCCTGCTGCGTGAGCTTCTCGGTGGCCGTCGTCATGCTGACCAAAAGCTGGAGTGCGTCCTTGGGAGCGGTGGGAAATCTCCCTCCATCGCGACGTTGTCCTTCGACATCCTTTCGACTGTTTCGCTTGGGCGGCCTTCGCCGAGGCGGCTTCTCTTGATCTTCCGACAGTCT